CACACACAAAGTGACTTTAATCCTCTGGCAGCCTGTCCAGCCCCAGCCCTTCAGTGCCTCCCGCCGGGCCGCCCCGGCCCCTGGCAGCCGGGGAGGGCAGCGGTGTGTTCTCCGGCTCCTCCTGCGTCAAGTGCCATTTTGATTTTGTTTCCTTTGTTTCCCCGTAGGATATGCTTTTCTTCCTTAATCAGAAAGGACCCCTCACAAAGGGGATCTTCAGACAGTCGGCCAACGTGAAATCCTGCAGACAGCTGAGAGACAAACTGAATGCCGGAGTTAAAGTACATGTAGACTATGAATCGGCTTACGTGATAGCCTCTGTCTTAAAGGTGGGGAACACACGCCCTTCGTCCCCCCCACAGTGGAGCTCTGGGGGAAGACAGCTGGTCTCCCTCATTATAACGCTATCCCCATCTGCGAAGAAGCGTCATAGTTAGAGTCTCACAGCCAATTAGCTATGTGGTAAAAGTATTTGTAGCAGAAATTCTTGTGGCAAAGATGTCTATGGCAAATAGGTTTACTTATGGGGGAAAAAAAAAACCTGGAACCCAGCCCCATGGTCACTTAACTCACATCCATAGTTGAGTTAGACTTCTTCTAAAGTGTTTTCCTCCCCACATTCTTGAAAATGCCTCACGTCTTTGCAAAACCTGAAGTCAAAACGAGCTTTCAACAGAGCTCTTGACCACAGCAATGGCTTCTGCAGACCAGTGTCAGTCTGCCGTCTCTCAGCAGGCTTGGTGTGCACCCGCGCCAGGGATAGGGACAGGGCCCCAGCCTGCATCCCAGGGCCTGGAGCATAAAACCCAAATTCCGGAGAACGTGGTGAAGAAGGCTCTTACATGTCCCTGCTCCCAGGCAATTGCTTACAGAACCATGCTTTATGAATTTAGGAACAGTCAGATGTCTCTTGGTAAAAGGGCCATGTCTGCTCTTAAAACAATCCCTGCCACAGACTTTGACAATGAAGTGTCACTCAGAAGAGCTGGAGGGCGGAAGCGGGGAGCATCTTGTCTATTTTACACAGGGTTTGCACTTGCCTTTCAGTTGTGGAGCTCAGTAGAGATACGTGTGGTGTGCTAGCTGAGCAAGACCCATGTCAAGGACATGTATGCATGGTGGATTTTTCTTTGCTTTTTTTTATCATATAATTAGGCTTTCTCCCATCTCTTAATTTAAGAAGTTAAAGGCTAAGTTTTAGAAGATTTTCCTAATTCTGCTATTCTTCACAGCACCATACTCCTCAAAATTTTGAACTAAATTGTTGAGGCTGTTAACAAAGAAATTTGGATGTAAAAGAGTTAAGCTGCATTTCACATTGTAGAGAAAGTAATTGTACAAGAATAAGCAAAGGGCAAAAAATAATCCAAATGATTGGAAAGTCTGGTTAGATGGGTTCCAACTAATTAAAACTTTGTGATCATGGAACTGTGCTTTACTCTCAATTTTTTCCCAAGTGGTTGCAGGAAAGGAAATACTTTTTGCCAAAAGTTACTGAGCTTTAGTTTTGTTTTGTTTCTTGTTTTTGAGACTATTTGGGAGTGGTACTTAAGTTTTCCCTTAATTTTTCCCTTAGGCTGGTTTTGCTTAAATATAAGCTTCACTCTGAACTATAATTGGAATAAAATTGCTTGAGAAAGCATAACTCTGATCCATCAGACCTTTGAGGAAAAGTTTGTTTTTTAATCCTGTAAGAATCTCATCTCAGATTAATCTGGGAGCTCTGCTGATAGCTGGGGCTCTGCCTTTGGAGGGGAGGAGACTTTGAGTTGAGAGCTGGGCGCTGGCGATTGTAATTCAGAACCAGCTTTCACTTCCTTCTCAGCTGTGATGGTTGTTATTGTGTAACTTGTTATTCCAGCTGTGGAGAGTCCATTGCAATGTTACGACTTATCTTTCAAGTGTAGGTTTTAAGATTTAATGATGTTTTTCTTCAAGACAGATCATAAGTATATTTCCACTGAGGTTTAAAAAGAGAGCTATTGTCACTGCCCCACTTTGAAATAACAGATTTCAGCTCTTCTGAATCTGACTTGTCACATAGGTGCAGCACGAAAATTAGTTAGGAATTATGAAAATTTGATAGCTTCCCCCCCAAAAGAAGGTAACTTTTGTGATGATGCATCTTAATCACGGGTATCTGGGTACATCTCTCCTGGAAAATACAATAGAACAGAGAAAGACTTTAAATCAGTCACTTTCCTGCTTACTAACCACTCCAAAACATTGTCTAATAATAGGTAACATGACCACGAAGAGGCTTTTAAATTATTTGAGAGCCTCAGTTATAGTTAGCTGGCCTTCCTTTGTCCCTCACTAATATTTGGCCATAGGACATACAGCAACACTTCAGTAATGACCCCCGCTAAGTCTGCGACTGTGCTTGGCGTTGAGTGTATGCAGTGAAAGGCAAGGGTCTGGTCTGATCCTGCCCTGAAGGAGCTCGTAGGCTCGTGGGAGACATGCTCACCTCATCAGCTGACTGCAGCACTGAGGCCCAAGGCTTCCATGTTAGTCACAGAAACACGACATGTTGTCTGTCACAAGTTGTGTGTCGCCTTTGGTGAGGCACATATGTAAGGCTGCTATTTGATTTTCCAGCAAGAATTAAAATTACTCCATTGCACACCTGTCTCTGTGTTGTAAGCAGGAACTTGCAAGAGGGTGGTCAGCCATGGGTCCAGCACTTAGACATGGAATTGGGTTTTCTCTGCCTGAAGTTTCCTAAGGTGGAGATCAGACTTCGCAAGCTTGGCTTGTTAGGACCGTGCCAAAAGCAACAGAGGGTGTTGGCCTAGAAAGGAAAGGAACATAGGACCAGGACCAAAGTGTGTTTACTTTTAAGCTTTTTTATAAACAAATGTCAAACAACAACCTCCCTTGGTCAGATCCTACTTGTGTCATAGTCTGGTTTCACCCACACCTGGCCCCACAAGTGCTCTAAGGAGGAGTCTCGAAGGCCGAGAAGGATAATGTACCAGGGACATGTTATTTAATATACATTAGGGATGAGAGTGCTGCCCCAGGCTCCCAGAGCCAGCCATAGCCTGGAATGCCTTCTCCCCTCCTATGAAGAATACAGGGGGAAACTCCAGACACCTCTGGATGGAATTAGTCACCAATGCTGCTGGAATCTAAAGTTCTAAATTACCAGGGACTTTGTTTTATTTACTACCCTGTTCCTGGCACCTGAAACAGTGCCTGGCACAGATGAGCAAATATGTGTAGAATGACTGGATGACTGACTACCACATTATGAATCTCACAGATACCTTCGTGCATTCCTTTTAACTAGTGATTTGAGAGACAGAGAGAAAAAAAAAAAAGATTAGGATGGTTTGCCAGACCCTGCCAGTTTGCTAAGATGTATGCAAACAGGAGGTTTCAGCCCAAACAGGTTGTCCTTTATCTTTCCCACTGTAGTCCAGACCCCAATTTCCCTCTGGTTTTTTGTTAGAAAAAAAATCAAAGCATATTTTTCTGTGTGCGCACATCATTGGAGGGCTGGCGCAGAGCTCTGTGTGTTCCAAAGAAGGGAGGACTGAACTTTCCAATAAAGTGTCTTCTTTCTAATTTCTCCAATACAAATTATTAGAATAACAATTTAAATTTTTTTCCCTCTATTTTAGGATTTTCTACGGCACATTCCAGGAAGCTTATTATCATCAGATCTCTATAATAATTGGGTCTGTGTAATGGACAAAGGAAATGATGAGGAGAAAATAAATGCAGTTCAAAGGTAACTATTCCAATTTGGTCATTTCTCAAAAATACTTTTTAAAATAACTTATTTTATTAGCTTGTCTGTTAATGTAATAATAACTATCAAAGTCATATCCATAGGGGCCAGTTTAAAAGTAGATTTATGCTAGCAACTGTCATTGTTATTATTGGGTTTTTTCCTAATCTTACTAATATGGAATACTCGACCATTGTACACCTTCTGTATATTCTAATCTGATAGGCACTGAAACCCCTTAGACTAATAGCTAATACTGTAGACCCAATCTATAATTTATGACCTTAATTTTGGTAAATGTTTAACTAACCAGATGATTCCTTATACACTTCATTTAGCAGCCGAATTCATACAGAGAAAATTCCTTCCCCTCAAGGAGCTCACAGTCTAGTAGAAATAGACAGATAAAACCCAGAATTCCAGTGCGGTACAGTCAGTGCCATGACAGGGGTATGTGGAGAAGGGGATGTGAGGAGACTCCAGAGAGACAGTCAACTCATTGAAAAGTGTCAAGGGAAAAGGGAGTTGCAGAGCTTTAGCCTGATCACAGAGAATGCATTGTCTGTCCTCATGGAAAGGGAAGTTGCCGGCAGAACCCAGCACCCCCATTCCTGAGTATTTCCCACATCATAAGAGAATAGGAAAAAAGTGTCCATTAACAAAAAGCAATACTTGCATTTCTGTGAAACCCAAGAATCCCGGTACCATTTATTTGCAAACGCTTGTTCAGTGCAGTGTTATCTTGAGCAACTTTCAAATGCAAATCATTATCTACACGCAGCTACTGATGGTGTAAGTGTTGAAGGCACCAGACTCAGAGCCATGCACAAAATGCTGTCTCTGCTTTCGTGACAGCTTGGTGGGAACCGTTCAGAGACAGGGAACCTGAGATTCTGTATGTTGTTGCTCATTGTCTAAAACTTTATATTCTAGAAGCTATTAAAGGATGATTTTTAAAAGGCCAGAATTATGGCTCTCATATAAATATGCACACATGAAAGAAATTTTATTTAAAACAAGAATTAATAAAGAGAAGTACTAAGACGTTACTGCCACCGGTTCAGAGAAGATGGTTAACTACCACAAGTTATAATAGTTGAATCAGAAATGCTGAAATGAACTTAAAAAACAAAACTGGCTTTTTCTGCTGGGGCATGAGGCAGTGCAAGTAAATCACGTGTCTCTTCACCAGAGAGAATTTTCAGGTCTATGGACAAGTCTTATGTATTGCTGTCAATATTCTATAGTTTACAGAGGTGTAAAATAACTCAAAGGCTCAGGGCCCCCTCAGAATCTGACACCCCAAAAGAGCACGCTAGGCAAGGCCTTAATTTCCACTGAATACATTCAGTAATCTTTTGGCCCATTGTAATCTGTCATAATGTGTCCCTAGAAAACCATCCTCATTGTCAGTCTGTGGTGCTGAAGAAGCACCTCTCTGGTATTTATGCAACAAGAGCCAGATTACCTGATTTTCTTCCCCAGGTTGTGATACAGGAAAACAGGGCACGAGAGGAGGGCTGTGTCCCAGGTCTCACTTGAGTCCCTGGGATGCGCCCCGCCAAGTGAGGGTTGTTGGCTTCAGGCGGGAAAGAATTCAAGAGCGAGCCCTAGTTGAGTAAAAGTAGATTTGTTTAGAGAGATGTACACTCTGTAGACAGAGTGCAGGCCGTCTCAGAACGCAGGAGAAGGGCAGAGGGGAGCAGGGTTGGGTGTTTAGTTTAAAGGAGAAGTAGACACACAGTCCATAGACAGAGTGCCGGGCATCTGGGAAGGTGAGGGAGCAAGAGAGTCCACGAGGCACGGTGTTGCGAGTTTTTATACATTAACAAGTGAGAGGATTACTCCAACTGCTTTGAGGAAGGGGCGGGGATCCCCAGGAATTGGGCCACTACCCTCTCCTTGATTTTCATGGTCAGCCTCAGAGCTGTCATGGCACCTGTGGGTGTGCCATTTGCGGTGCTAGTACATTACAGTGTGTGTGAGGGAGCTCAGGGTCCACTGGAGGTCAGCTCTCCATCCATCCTGGTCCTCAAGGTCCATCAGGAGTTGACTTCCTCCACCTTGGTGCTAACTGCTATGTCATTCCTTTAATGGCTGTGTCCTGCCCCCTTCCCTCCTGTCTCAGTTACAGGTTCTTGTTGGAAAAAAGCAACAATCATGAAAATATATATATGTATGTATAAAATATATATATGTATATTTATTTCCTGGATGGTAGTAAATGATGGTGAATGATAATTTAAAAATCCCTCATCAAGTACAAAATCGGAACAGTAGGAAATATACTGTTATAAGCTT